ATAATAATAATAATAATAATAATAATAATAATAATAATAATAATAATGATGGTGATGGTGATGATATTGTTATTATACTAAATAATAGACTGAAATATCTCTGTGACTATCAGATGGATTGTCGTGAAATGTAATACAGACATTCATGTTCCCCTCGGGATAAACCGTAATAACTTCGGTGATCCTCTGACTGTTCATCGAGCGACGTGTTCACGTTAACAAATTTCCAATATTCTTTAAAAAAAAAAATCTTGACTCCAACAGTTTTGGGGCGTTTTCTGTCTCCCGTCACACGATCCTCTCTGAGGTCTAAAGTTCTGCTCCTCTATGAACAGAACCATGATGAGTAGAAGAAGAGAACTAGAACACGTCTGTAGAGCAACTTTAAACAAGACAAGTGAAAGTCAGCTGATGAAATATTATAATTTAAAGCTTCAGTCACACATGATGCGTTCAAGGGCCGTCGGAAAGATGAAAATCAGACGATCATGTCGTCTTTACTGCTCGAGGCTGATAAACAGTGAAGTTTAAAGAAAACCTGCTTCTTCAGTCCCAGGTTCACAGGTTTGACATGTAAACGTGTAGAGCAGAAAATACAGATTTTTAAATGATTCATAAGCTTTAAAGCTGATCTGGAGGATTCTGATACCGGGAGATGTTTTTAGTTTGTCTGTCGTCAGCCACAAACACTCAGGCGTTCTCTTTACCTCCTCAGCTGATGAAGGAGCCGGTGCTGCAGGACAAACGGAGCGAGCACGTCCGGTTCTGCCGGTACGCCGCCGAGCTGACGGAGCGGGTGTCCGGTAAGCCGCTCCTCATGGGCACCGACGTCTCGCTGGCTCGCCTGCAGAGGGCCAACGTGGTCGCCCAGTCGCGCATCACCTTCTCGGAGAGGGAGCTCTTCATGCTGATGAGGAACCACCTGGTGGCCAAAGGCCTCCACGACACGGCCAACACGCTGGTCAAAGAGGCCAATTTACCGGCTGGATCCCTCTGTCCTCACTCTTCCTCCTGCATCACTCCTCCTCCTCTCTCCTCCTCTTCCTCCACAATGATTCCCAGGACTTGCCGGTTGGCCGTCGGGATCGCCGCTCGCGTCGCCGGCCACGTGGGCTCTTCTCCCGTCTCCTCGGTCGCCTCCTCTTCCTCTCGCTCCCTCCTCGCTCCTCACCCCTCGTGCTCCTCTTCATCTACCACCCCCCTCCTCCCTCCTCCTCACCCTCATCCAGGGTCTCACGGTCAGGCCTCGCATCCGGTCGGACGGATTCTGTTCACGCGGGAACGCCCGGCGGCTCATTGCAGCTCAGGAAAGAAGCTCCGGGCGCTGAAGCAGAAGTCTGACCACGGCGCCTTCATTCAGGTCCGTGATGGTCGTTTTATTACATGTTTATTCATTGAAGCTGAAACTCTTCATCGATTATAGACTGACGAGATGTCGCTGAATTATTACAATTAGTAATCCAGCAAAAGGCCACACGAGGTCACGTCTCTGTTTGATATCAGAGTGAATATTGGACTTTAAAGGTTTGTCTCTGAGAACTGGTGTTGGTCATTTTACACTATTTAACACTTTATTAATAGAAGCACAACTATTATACATATATTACATACATATACATATATTAGAAATCATCAGTTGTGACATTTTCATTCACATTTAGTTCCAAGTCCTAAAGAGCATCTAAAGCCGGGATCCAGCTGCTCAGCGTCAGATGTTCAGATCACAGAGTTCTGTCATTAACGGGAGAAAGTAATGTTCTATGTTCTGATCGTTTACTGACTTCAGAAAAGGTTGGAATGATTTTTGAAAGTTCTATTTCCTGTTGTAGTTCCTTTGGTGCTGATCTGATGCGTGACTCTAAGACTCGAGGATCAGCTGAAGCTCATTACTTCTTGTTCTCTGAATCAGACTCCAGCGATGAAGAAGCAGCTAGAGCGCCACCTCCCCTCCCCCCCGACCCTGGACAGCATCATCACGGAGTACCTGAGGGAGCAACACGCCCGCTGCCCCAACCCCGTCACCACCTGCCCCCCCTTCTCCCTGTTCACCCCCCACCGCTGCCCTGAGCCCAAGCAGAGGAGGCAGGCGTCACCCAACTTCACCGCCCGCCTGGGGAGCCGGGTGCTGTACCCGAAGTACGGAGGCGTGGACCGAGGCTGTCTGGACCGACATCTGATCTTCAGCAGGTAGTGAACGCGCTCTGTAGATGTACCGACGCTGGGTCACGCTCTGAACCACTAAGGTCTCACGTTCCTCTCTGAGGTCTAAAGTCCTGATCCTCTATGAACCAGAACCACCGTGAGTAGAAGCAGAGAGAACTAGAACACGTCTGTAGAGCAGAACAACACAGTTATGATGACATCAGTCATTAAAAAGAAGAAAACAAGTTTCATTTCTTTGGTAATTTATTTCAATTGTAAAACAGTGTAATCTCTAAATCCAACATGTTTGTGTCTACATGTTTCAGCCTCCTCCCTCCTCTCTCCTCTCCTCTCCTCTCCTCTCCTCTCCTCTCCCCTCCCCTCCTCTCCTCTCCTCTTCTCTCTCCTCTCTCCTCTCCTCTCCTCTCCTCCTCTCCTCTCTCTGTCCTCTCCTCTTCTCTCTCCTCTCTCTCCTCTCCTCTTCTCTTCTCCTCTCCTCTCTCCCCTCCCCTCCCCTCCTCTTCTCTTCTCTTCTCCTCTCCTCTCCTCTCTGGGTTAGGGTTAGCGAGGCTTATGTCCACAAGCTGATAGAGAGCGGCGTGTTCATCAGGGACAGCTTCGTGCAGGTCTCTCCGCTCTCAGTGCCCTCTACGCGGATCACCGTGTCCGGTGTTCCGCCGTTTATACCGAACGAGCTGTTAGAAAATGAGCTGCGCAGGTTTGGAAAGTTTGCCAGCGGATTTAAAACAGTCAGTTTGGGGTGTAAGGATCCCAAACTGAAGCACGTGCTGTCTCTTAGGCGGCAGGTCTTCATGTTCCTGGAGTCACCTACACAAACACTGGAGGTGTCCTTCAGGGTTAAACACGGGGAGGGTTCATACATGGTGTACGCTAGCTCGGGACAGATCAAATGCTTTGAGTGTGGACATGTAGGACACAAACGATTCGCGTGTCCGCACAAGCGGCAGAGAGGCGCGGAGGTGGAGCCGGCGGCTCCGGCTCCGGCTGCGGCTGCGGCCGCGGCGGCGGCGGCTGTTGCCGGTGCGGTCGGCGGCGTTTCTTCGTCTTCTGCTGATAACAATAATGTCGATAAGGAGGATCAGGGCCAGTCTTACAACCAGCAGGCTTCTGTGGTGGCGCAGAACCTCACTACATCTGGTACCGAAGCACCACCACAGTCGGTAGAAGTCTGTGAAGAGGCAGCTACAGGTTCAGCAGGTGGAGATCGCACCATAGCCTTAGATGAAGCACAGAGTGTAGGGTCTGTGTCCAACAGCCAGCTGTCTTGTGAAGGAGAGGACATGGAGTATGAGAGTGAATCAGATGTTGCATCTAATTCTGAAACGTGCATTAAAAGCACTGATCTGTATTCACTAGAGGAAATAAACTCGTTTTTGGATGTAACTTACAATAGATCTGCAAAAGTGAGTGATTATTTCCCTGACATTGAGAAGTTCATACGATCTGTTGGGGTGGCGCAGAGAAAGGTGGGTTTGGACCTTCTAGATGGAAAAAAGCGCTTCCGCCTAAAGAAACACATCACAATCTTGAGGAAAGTAAGGAAAAGTAAAAGGGTTCAAAATACTAAGACAGTTTAACATGATCATGTGTCACACGGGGGTTTCCACTTTCCACTGCTTACTTATCTTGTCTTACCTCCTTCCATCCTCTGACCTTTCTATGCAGAGCTTCAATTTAGGGTCTTTAAACATCAATGGTGGGCGGGACGGGCATAAAAGAGCATTAATACAGGAGGTTGTAAATCAAAAAATGTTGGACATCCTCTTTTTGCAAGAAACTCACACCATTCCAACAGATGAAGTAGACTGGGGTTTATGGTGGGAGGGCTCATGCACCCTGAGCCACGGCACCAATCTTAGTGCCGGGGTAGCCGTGCTGTTTAGAACAGCAGCTAACGCAACCGTCCTGTCTGTCACTGAGGTGGTGAAGGGTCGTTTGCTGATGGTGAGGGCAGAGATAGAGAGCTCGCTTTACTGCTTCGTGAACATATATGCACCGAATCAGGGGCCAGAAAGAGCACGCTTCTTCACTACGCTGCAAAACGAACTGCAGAGCTGCCATCAGGAGCAACTGATCATCGGAGGGGATTTTAACTGTACTCTAGACTTCACCATAGACCGGAACAGTGAGGAACCACACCCACAGTCAGCTCAGAGTCTCCACAACGTCATCACACACTTAGATCTGTTGGACACGTGGAGAATAAAACACCCATTAGACAGACAGTACACATGGGTTAGAGTCAGCAACGACAGGATCAGTGCAGCCAGGCTGGACAGAATTTACATCTCTCGCAGTCTCAGTTCCAGACTGAAGAACAGCACAATCAGTCCAGTTGGGTTCTCCGATCACCACCTCGTCAGTTTAGGTTTGATAACCTCACCAGGTGAAAGGGTTAGCTCCTACTGGCATTTTAATAATAAACTTCTACAGGACAGCACTTTTTGTCAGAGCTTTGGGGTTCTTTGGCAGCAGTGGAAAACTGAAAAAGTTCGTTTCAGTTCTCTGAAACAGTGGTGGGAGGTCGGAAAAGCGCAGATCCGTGTGTTCTGCCAGCAGTACACCTCAAACACCACCGCTATAATCAAGTCTGCTGTTAAAGACCTTGAAGCCAACATAAAGATCATTGAGGAGGGCTTCCAGAGAGACCCAGATCCCGGTGTGGGCCAGCTGCTGAAGGAGAGGAGGTTGGAGTTGAGCTCCTTCCTGCAAGAGAGAGTGAAAGGAGCTCTGGTCAGGTCCCGTTTCCTCCAGTTGAAGGACATGGATGCCCCAAGCTCGTTTTTCTTCAACCTGGAGAGATCGGTGGCGCAGAGGAAGCGGATGACCTGTCTGAAGCTCCCAGGAGGCAGGATAACCACTGACCAGAGGGAGATGAGGACCCATGCCATGGGCTTCTACGCTGCTCTCTTTGGGGAAGAGCAATCCTGTACGGAGAGCAGTAGGGAGCTCCTGGAGGGTCTTCCCCAGCTCAGTCCAGCAGAGAGGGCTATGCTGGACGGAGAGCTGACGCTGGAGGAGCTGACGGTTGCAGTGAAACAGATGGCTTCAGGAAAGACTCCGGGAATCGACGGTCTCTCCTCGGATTTCTTTAAGAAATTCTGGAACATTATCGGTTCTGACTTACACTCTGTTTTGATGGAATGTTTTAAAACAGGATCACTTCCTGTTTCATGCCAGCGGGCAGTACTCTCCCTGCTGCCCAAGAAGGGCGACTTGGCCCTTCTTAAGAACTGGAGACCAGTGGCCCTGCTTTGCACAGACTATAAGGTGCTTTCCAGAGCCTTATCCATCAGACTAAGAGACTACCTGGAAGTGGTTGTAAATAGTGACCAAACGTACTGTATCCCAGATAGAACAGTTATGGACAATATTTTTCTCATCCGTGATGTGCTTGATGTATGTAAATTCCACGATGTCGATGTAGGTATTGTCTCACTAGACCAGGAGAAGGCTTTCGACAGGGTGGGTCACGCATATCTGTTTTCTGCACTCGGGGCTTTTGGGCTTGGTGATGGGTTCTTGGCTTGGGTGGGTTTGCTGTACAGTGGTGCTGAATGTATGGTCAAAATGGGAGCTGGCCTGAGTCGACCGATCCCTGTACAGCGAGGGATAAGGCAGGGTTGTCCTATCTCAGGGCAACTATACAGCCTCGCTTTTGAGCCTCTGTTGTGCAGGCTGAGAAGTCGGCTCAGTGGTCTGTCACTGCCTGGGTCCTCCAGTCTTTGTAGTCCCCTCGCTGTGTCTGCTGATGATGTAACCATCTTCATCAGGGACCAGGGAGATGTTCTATGTCTGCAGGATGCTTTGTCTCTTTATGAGAGGGCTTCATCTGCACGGGTGAACTGGGAAAAATCTGAAGCCTTATTGGTGGGTCAGTGGAGACATCAGACGGTGCCTCATCTGCCTGGAGGTCTTCAGTGGGGAAAAGAAGGTCTAAAAGTGCTGGGTGTGTTTTTGGGCTCTGAGGTTTTTGAGAAAAAGAACTGGGAGGGAGTTAAGGAGAAGGTGTGTGCTCGGTTCTCTAGGTGGAGATGGTTACTACCCCAGTTGTCATATAAGGGAAGAGTTCTGGTTGCTAATAATTTGGTTGCCTCGACTCTGTGGCACAGACTCATCGCTCTGACGCCACCTGGAGGCCTCATAGCAGAGATACAGAGGTCTGTCGTGGACTTCTTCTGGTCCGGCCGGCACTGGGTTCGTGCAGCAGCTCTCTATCTGCCTGTGGCAGAGGGGGGGCAAGGTCTCATCGATATCCAGTCCAGGATCGCCTCTTTCAGACTCCGGACTGCACAGAAGCTGCTCTATGGCTGTGGCCCCAGCTGGATGGACACGGCTCGACTGCTGCTGAGGAGAGCTGGGCGGTTGGGATATGATAAGCAGCTTTTTCTCCTACAACCTGAGGAAGTGGACTTGGCCGGGCTGACGCCGTTCTACGGCTCTGTTCTGCAGGCGTGGCAGATTTTTAACATTTCACGTAAAGCTGATGAGACTCCGGGCGTGTGGCTGCTGGAGGAACCTTTGTTCTTCAACAGCTTCATTAGAACCCAAACGCTGCAGTCTGCCAGCCTGAGAACTCGTCTGAGAGAAGCCGGCTGCACTAAACTGGGACATTTGGTGAAGATGTCATTAACAGCAGCATCTATGGTCACCTTCAGGCAGAACACTAACATCACGTCTGTCAGGTTGACCAATAGAATAGTGGAGGAGGTCTGTGCCGCCCTGCCACAACGCCTGAGAGCAGTTGCAGGAAACTGTACTCTGTCTGACCAATGGGATGAAGAGAGTGAGTACACCCTCCCCACTCTGCTCATTGCCCCAGCGGTGGGGGACTGGCAGGGGGGAGGAAACAAGCTGCTGACGTTCACAACCCCTCACCTGGACAAGTTTCAGGCAGCAGAGAAAAAAGCTATCTATGAAATCTGTGTAAAGGTTGTGAACCTCCGCTCTCTGGCAGGGTTGACAGAGTCGAGGTGGACCGAGTTCTTTGGCCCAGGTTCTTCCCCGAGAGGCAGCTGGAGGTGCATGTACAAGCTGCCCGTTGAAAAACGGACAGCAGACCTCCAGTGGAGGGTTGTACATGGAGCTATAGCCACCAACAGATACCGGGCACACCTGGATCCACAAATTGGGGAGGAGTGTTATTTCTGCGGTCAGATTGAGACCCTGGAACACTTGTTTGTTCAGTGTCCTCGGCTCTCAGCACTCTTTGAACGGTTAAAAAGATGGTTTCAGGGTCTTGGAGAGGTTTTTTCTTTTATGTTGTTCATCTTCGGTCCAAAATACTGCTCAAAAAAGAAGGCTGTCCACACAATGGTGAACTTTTTATCTGGTTCTGCCAAGTTGGCCATCTGGTTGACACGGAAGAATCGGGCTCGGGGTGCCGGTAGTGAGGATCCGGTGAAAGTTCTGGAGGGACTGTTGAAAGCCCGACTCAGGGTGGAACACACCTACTACCAGACAGTGGACGATTTACAGGCTTTCAGGGACAGATGGACTACTGGGAGCATTTTATGCTCAGTGGGTGCTGGTGGAGAGCTGGTGGTGAACTTCTGAACATATTGATCATTGAAATTGATTGTTTCTTTGTTCTTTGGTGCTTTATTTTTTGGTTATTTGTTTTTATTTTATTGATTTTATTGATTTTCTGACTATTAAGTGATGATTTAGAGTGTTTCTGTTTTTCACTGCAATAGTGAAATAAAGGGACTTTAAAAACCAAAAACCTCTCCTTCAGCCTCTCCTCTCTCCTCTTTCCTTCAGCCTCTCCTCCTCTCCTCTCTCCTCTCCTCTCTCCTCCTTCCTTCAGCCTCTCCTCTCCTCTCTCCTCTCCTCTTTCCTTCAGCCTCTCCTCTCCTCTCCTCTCCTCCTCTCCTCTCCTCTCTCCCCTCTCCTCCTCTCCTCTCCTCTCTGTGTTCACTTCCTGAAGTTCAGTCAAAGTGTCGCCTCCTTGTTGTCACATGACTGTTGGTCTCAGATGAATCGATCATGACATCACAGTGTCTCTGATGAGCTCACACTTTAATGTTTTTACAGAATCTGTTTAAAGTGAACATATTACTGAGGGTGAGATTTTGTCACACATGATGTGTTCAAGGACTGTCTGAAAGATGACGATCTGACGATAATGTCTCTGCAGCTTCTGTCTGTGATGAACGATGGAGATGAACGTTCTTTTCCATCGTGCCGATGTGTTTTGGTGTTCAGAGGGTGTAGTTTCTGTTCGTCTTCGTCACTCTCTCCTCTTCAAACCTCTGCTCAGGTTCCGTCCGATGTCGGTCTTCCACGAGGGCGACGGAGACGAGAGCGGCTTCACCTGCTGCGCCTTCTCGGCCCGCGAGCGCTTCCTGATGCTGGGAACCTGCTCGGGTCACCTCAAGTTCTACAACGTGTTCTCCGGAGAGGAGGAGGCCAACTACACCTGCCACTCGTCAGCCATCACTCACCTGGAGCCCTCCAGGGTGAGTCAGCTGCTCACAGCCTCTGACATCCTCTTGAGCTGTTAAAGACTGATCTAAAGTCACAATCCTGAAGAGATGGTGTGCAACCACATGATCAAATGTGAACAACAGAGAGAATGTGGATTGATTGCAGACATGGAGCTCTTCTTGTTGCTCTGCTGTTGAATGAGGAGGAAGCAAACCTCACCGCTCAACGTAATTCAAAGCTGCTGACGTGAACCTCGTGTATGTCCACAGATTAGTTCATACTCGCTCATGGACGTCCTGAGGGGACAAACGGTTCACTTCTAAAAACTCTATTTACATGTTCACACGTCTGATTTTACAAAGACGGATGCTTTGTTTCTAGAAGCTTTAGAAACAGGAAGTGTGAGTAAATATTTAACATTAAATCAAATAGTTTACAGGATGTTCAACCTTATTTATTCATATAACATTTAAAACTTGACTCCTTTCTTTACCGCGTTTGTAAAAAGGTAATAAAGTAGTTTATGAATATGAGATATGAGTTCACAGATAATTACACGATCCTTCACACTTCATTGTGTTTGTGCTTCCTGGTGTTTGGTAGAATAATGCGTCTCTCAGCGCGTTCACTCTATAAACTCCTCACAGTCTGTGGAGGCTAACGCTACGACGCTACGATGCTACGTAGACTATAAACAGCTTTCTGTCCGACCCTGACGAGCGACGCGTCTCAGTGTTTCCACCATTAAGACATACAAGTAAAGTCACTCAAATCTGAAGGATTGTCACTTTAATTTAAATATAAAAGCTTGTGTGTGTGTGTGTGTGTGTGTGTGTGTGTGTGTGTGTGTGTGTGTGTGTGTGTGTGTGTGTGTGTGTGTGTGTGTGTGTGTGTGTGTGTGTGTGTGTGTGTGTGTGTGTGTGTGTGTGTGTGTGTGTGTGTGTGTGTGTGTCTGTGTTCGTGTGTGTGTGTGTTCGTGTGTTCTCAGGATGGGAAGCTGCTGCTCACCTCTGCTTCTTGGAGCGTCCCCTTGTCGGCCCTCTGGAGTATGGACGGTGTCTTCAGCTTGAAGTAAGACACACACACACACACACAGGTTTAACTCTTTGTTTCTCAGTGTGTGTCCATGTCGTTGCTGAAGCGTCCTCTTTGTGTCCTCTTTGTGTCCTCTTTGTGTCGCAGGAACTCGTTTGTGAACGATCACTACGTGGAGTTCAGTAAACACTCTCAGGACCGAGTCATCGGCACCGAGGACCAAGTTGCTCACGTATGTCACCTCAAGTATTCTCTACACGACTAAAGTCCTTCATCAGGTTCAAACAGAGTTTAAAACCACCAGCATTTAAAAAGTGACGGGTGAACAAATGAAGCGCACCGTTACCTTCTGATTCAAATGACTCGTTTCTCAGGTTTGCGTGTAATCATTTGGGACAGCAGCGCTCATCAGCATGTAGAACACATCATCCCTCTATAGATGACTCAGCTTCTGTTTCCGCCTCGTGTCTCGTGTGCTGCAGATCTACGACATCCAGACGGGGCAGAAGACCGTGACCCTGAACGACGCCGCTCTGGCCAACAACTACAAGAGGAACTGCGCCACCTTCAACCCCACCGACGACCTGGTGCTGAACGACGGCGTGCTGTGGGACGTCCGGGCCTCGGGTGCCATCCACAAGTTCGACAAGTTCAACATGAACATCAGCGGCGTCTTCCACCCCAATGGCCTGGAGGTCATCGTCAACACGGAGGTTGTATCCTCTGAACCCGGCCGGTCTTCTGTTCTAAACCGCTTTTATAACCTCATGATCCTCAGATACATCACGCTCAATGGTGAAGACCTACCAGACGGGACGTTAGAGGGTCGTCCTGTTCGTCCTCTGAGAAATCTTACATTTAAGGGAAGAGCTCGACAGAAATGCTAATTTGCCAACAGCTAGATGAGATGATTGATGCCGTTCTCAATGTTTGTACGATAAATGAGAAGCCACCACCAACAGCTGGTTAGCTTAACTTAACTTAGCTTAGCTTAGCTTAACTTAGCTTAGCGTACATAGTGGAATCAGGGGGAAACAGCTAGCCTAGCTTCGTCCAAACGTAAAGAAATCAAAAGTGTAGAAACTTGATGTTTTACGGCGTTCCCTTCAAGTCTTCGTGTTTGAGCGTTGGTATTTGTTGTGCTGTTTACGTTCCGATGCTACAAATATGTGAACAATAGAAAGTAATGATGGATTTAAAAAGCGTGTGTTTCTATCTTGAAGGGATAGTCGTGATGTTTAGTTGGATGAGTCAGTGCGTCACATCATCTCCGTCTCTCTTTAAAGACTCCAGACTCTCAGAACTCGCTGCTCTGCAGCTGCTTTGACCGGTTAGTTAGTTAGTTTGTGTTTGTGTGTTTTAAAGACTTCGTTCAGATTCACCAAACTAACTAACCGGTCAAAGAGCAGCAGTCTGGTGTCTTTTAAAGAGAGCACAGATAACAGCTTCTACTGGAGGCAATACCCCGACCAACCACCTCGTACAACCCCACACACACACTGCCTTCAACACAAATATCTCCAATAAGAGAATTATGAAATCAGAATGTGCATGGCCGGGTCTTTTAGACCTTGAGAGTTGAGCAGTTACAGTGCACAGAGGTGAGGCAGTGCAGACCTGTGGTTGTCAGCCTTGACAGCCGGCGTCAGTGGGACCTGAGGACCTTCCACCTGCTGCACACGGTGCCAGCGCTGGACCAGTGCAGGCTGGTGTTCAACAGCAACGCCACCATCATGTATGGAGGTACGGGAGAGACGCTCACCAACGTACAGTCAGAGCAGCACCAGGGTGTCACTTCTTACTGACATGTTATCGTCTGCTTCCCCTCACACACACACACACACACGCACACACACACACACAGCGATGCTGCAAGCCGATGATGAGGATGACGCCATGGACCAGCAGATGAAGAGTCCCTTCGGCTCGTCCTTCAGAACTTTCGATGCTACAGACTACAAGCCCATCGGTAGGCTGCACTTCCTGTTTGTTGCAGACTGAAATCCTATTGGCCAGATACAGAACCCCTCATGACAGCTCTCTGAAGTCACATGACTGAGCTTCAATAGGAGAGAGGTCGACTTGTTGGTGTTTTCATGTGATTTATTGACAAGAAAGATTAAAAGGTTTTTACGGACGCTGACTTCTTATTTGTTGTTGTTTTTCAGCCACCGTGGACGTGAAGAGGAACATCTTTGACTTGTGCACCGACACCAGAGACTGCTACCTGGCTGTCATTGAGGTGCGTCAACATGTGATAGAGGAACTCTAACACTGTGTCCTCTCATCACATCGGTACTAGACGGGTTGTACATATATATTCATGCCTTCATGCATCAGTACAGCCTGCTGTGATCAGAGAGTGCTCTGAGCTTAAAGCCTTGAAGTCCTGATGGTGAAATGTAAAGAACAGACGAGTCAGCACTTTGTCTCCAACATGTTGCTTCTTGGATTCAAACAGAACAGGTTGACTCGTTTAATGTTAAACATTGTTTTTTCATCTCGTTTTTATGTCCCACAACAATTTAACATGTTGTTCTTTCTAAGGTTGCACTAACGATGATTTTTATTATTAATAATTCCGGCTTTTGTTCTCTCGATGAATTCATTATCCGCCGCGTCTAAAACAGTAAGAAGTTCAGGTCCACAACAGTCTAAACTCTCAGAGCAGGATGAGCAGGATCTACCAAGAAGAAGAAGCCACAACAATGGCCGACAGTGCAGAAGAAATGTAAATATGTCCGGGAGAGGGAGAGGGGGAGAGGGAGGGGGAGGAGAGGGAGGAGGGGGAGAGGGAGGGGAGGGGGAGAGGGGGGGGAGGAGGAGGTGATCAGAGGGAGAGACGAGGTGAGGAGGAGGTG